CTCTCTCTCTCTCTCTCTCTCTCTCTCTCTCTCTCTCTCTCTAGCGTTGTAAAATTTGACGAAACCTTATATCAAACGCAACTATTGACATTGACCGCATGTTATCTAGTAATGTTTTTTGCATACGTTCACGTAACAGTTCTTTTTGCATACGTTCGTTATATTCGTGCTGCAGTTAGGTAACATACTTGGCAATGGATTAGATAAAAATGCCTATTTGCAGACAATAAGTGACCTACTTTGACGTAAATATAACGTTGTCTTGTGTGTAGTAGCGATAAGAAAAAAAAGGATTGGAGCGTTGCGCATAGTTATTTTACAGATTTCGGCTTTTATTTAGAATATTTTTCATGTTATTTTGTAAAAGTAAAATTATATATCTAAAAGTTTTATTATTTAAAACTTAAGAATACAAGTAACTTGTAACGATATATTTTTCATATATCGCATATATAAAAAAACCTATATAAATTAAAATTTTTTCTTAATTGTACATGTTTTTATTACGTTATTATACGTATATTATATTTTTATGTGTATATTTATATACATATAAGTATAAATGTATGTTTTATTATGTATTTATTTAATATAATGTAACATCATATATAAATAACACCAGAGATACACATTACTTTTATTTACGATTATTAATATATCAAATGATTCGTAAATAAATAATTTGTGAATAAAAGAATGATAATTTGCGATAACGTGAAATTACAAATACCTAATTTTTTGTTTCTATATCTGCAGCTTAATTTTTATTTTTAATAAAATAATGTATATAATAATGTATGATCATTAATATTTATAATAATCATATAATAATCACATGATTTATATATAAGAAAAAATAGATATCCAAGATGATTGAGAGAAATGACCTTTTCTGCCGCGCGAGCATCCATCATATAAAAGAACCATATCGTAAAATATAAAACTATAATAAAAAAAAAGACGTTAATATTCTATATTTAAAAAGTTAGACTTTAAAAGGAACCTTTTCTGTGCTGACGCTTGACGCTCGTTTTTAGCGTCAAAACAGGTCGCATGATCGAAATAGACGCTCGATATTTATCAACTTTGATTATGTGTGGTCCGTTTTGACGCTAAAAATGAGCGTCATGCGTTAGCATGAAATTGTACCTTTATGCATTAGGAAATGCGTATAAGGAGGATCGCAAGCTCTCGTTCACCGACAATATTTCCACATAAGTGTACGTGTAGTGAAGTTCGCTGATAAGGATAAGCAGAAACAACACTGTGGGTAGCTGCCACCACGCGAGTCTAATGTATTCCCAAATACGATCCAAAAATATTGCCAGAAGAAAATAATCCATCATTGCGTGGAAGTTAAAGATCTTCCATGCGAGGGCGATAGCCCAGAAAGAGGAACTTCTGAAAACGACAGTTTGTCTATCATAGAGATCCTCTCGGCTGATCGTCGAAGAGATGTCAGTCTCTAGAAGATCCTGGTACACGGATATATACCGGTTCCAAGCGATGCTTGTCAGGGAAAAGTGCAGACCCACCATCAGCATGTTGTACAGAGGTGATTTCCAGAACGAGGTGGAGGAAACGGAATTGTGTGACGACAATGACGATGACGATAACGTCCGGATGGGCAGTAACTCATAACCGGCGCGGTGATTAGAGTTGCGCCTCAGGAAAAAGAACACCGCGACGGCGAGAGCAATGCAGCCGAGACCGTCGCAGACGCCATCCACGAGATAACCGATAGAGCCGACGTCCGATCTCTCACCCTTGACGTTGAGCCTCATCCTCGCCACATGGCCGTCCAGATCATCCAGCCAGGTTCTGACTTGGAATAGAATGACACCTATCCGTCTGTAAAAGAGGGAACTCCGTGTGATGTAACGGGCGCCGATTACAGCCACCGCTACATGAGAAACGCTGATGGCGTTTGGCGTCAGCCATATCCAGGAACGACTAATGCCTAGTAAATAATCCACTAGGGATGCCAGGGGGCTCAGAACATAGTGATTAGGGTGATCCAACGTCATGGCCTTCACCGTCACCGTGCAAATCGGATTTAGATCGCACAAGATCGGCGAACGATACGATGAAGCTCGCGTGTCGTTCACGGATGGACGTACATCGTAATCCTGTACTCGGAAATAAAGTAACAAATCCATTCCGACGAAGTACAGCAGGAATAGAAACGCCAGACACGTCTTACTGATAAATGCCGACGAGTACATTTTCCGAGAGATCAAAGGATCAAATTGTCCTATGCTTCTCGTTACTTAATTTTTTCCCTTATAATATTGTTCTCTTATTTGTTTATTTATCTAAGTCAATTGCTATTATTCTTTTAATCGTTTATTTAATGGCTTATTATTGTTTCAGGTATTTTTTTTTATCTAATTAAAAAGGTCAACACACTCCGTCGCAGCCGATTATTAACTAGCGTTACCGGTGTACCACAAATTCAACTCGTGGATGGCGTTTTAGGTGTGACAAAAATCTTGTCAAGCATTATTCTTCCTATATCGTGTCGACTCGTTGATCGATGTTAAGCCTATGACATTCTTCGCGGTCTGGTCCTCCTCTTCGTCCTTTCTCTGCTCTAGATGCGTCGGAGTCCGCAATTTGATTTTTAATCGTCGTTCCGAACTTTCCACGCAATGTTAGTAGCTTTTTATGAGAACAGCTCCTGTCGTTGTGCTGACTGTGCGTTTTACCAATAACTGGCAGCGCCTTGCTGTAATAAAAATTATGTCACGTTGTAATTACGTCACGTTGCAATTACGTCATGTTGTTGTAATTACGTTGGAATTAATTTGACATCGAACACACACTTTTGCCGCAGAATAAGTCCCATTCTGCTCTATCGCATCGTTGACGCGCGTATTCTGAAATATTGTACAATACGTTGCGTTTTAAGCCACAATTATAGATCATTATCGACTCGCCTTTATCTAACTATTTTTCTCATATCAGATTATGACACAGTGTTTGTTATTTTCAGTCTATTTCAGATAGAGGCAGATAGAAACAACCGGACACGCACGTGCATCCCGCCGTTTCCGATACTCTTTTCTTTTCTTTTTCTTTTTCCACGAGAGATCGTGGTGCGCGATCCACGAAGTCGCGGGTCACACTGACGGAGAGGACAGGTGGTCTGTCGCGTCGTTACCTTCACCGATCACGGGTTTCACTCTGTTCCGCAATAGGTCAACATCAGAGTAAACTTTGACAAGTTTGATTCACGAATATCTTTAATCCAATCCGACAGAGAGCTAGCGCGCCTGCCGGACGTTGACACGAACCGCAACGGTTATACTGCAACGCTCGCAAGGAGCCCCGCATATAATATATCGCTCAGAGATAATACAAACACGATAAGAATGACAGAACAAGTATCTTTCCTCCCATTCTTTCTTACTTCCTATGACTACGACTTACCCAAAGAACATCTCTACGGCCAAATGTTCCAACACTTTCGCGTTTGCCATTTACAGTTGAATTCTAATAGACCATACTCTCCTGCGCAGATTTCTATTTATATCTGCGCGGTGTTGAATTTCGTTAGTGAAGGTTGCATGTGTAACGAAAAATGCTATATAGGTACTAATAATGTTCGTCATGTTTAGAATTGAATGCAAGCCCGGAGAGGAAAATACGAATTTTTATTTCCACGCGTGAATAATTCATGAAAATAAAACTGGTTATTCTTCTTCTCTCTGCGCTCAAAGTTAATGTGTGGTTACATGTGTTTCAATATACAATATTATACTTTTAGTGTATAAAATATAAGTTGTCGTGTCATTGTTTCTTTAATAATTACTGTCGGATAATTTCCAATATTTACTGCTTAACTTGTAACTAATGTTGCCTACATGGATTTAAATATATTCAGCATATTCATTTTATTTGATTATAGTCAGCATAATACATGTAACTATGATAATAGGTCTGCTCTTTTCCGATGAACTTCTTGCATAATTCATCTCTCTCTTTTTCTCTCCATGTTCGAGAAAAAAAAAAGATAAAAGATTTGTGTGTGCAGGCGTGCGTGCGTGCGTGCGTGCAGTTTAGCTAAAAACAGGTCCTCCTCCGACTCTCTCCGACTGTCTAAGATGAAAAATATCTTATCGAGCATTTGAAGTTTTCAAGTACGTTTTCGTGTATTTTTTTTTGAACATAAATATAACTGAAAAATTTATAATTTAAATAAAGGAATCATCATCTACTATTATCTCTCTTAACAAGATATTAAATCTTTCAACTCATTTCGCTATTGAAATATGTACTGACATTGGCAGTTATTGATTGTCACAATTGTAGATATATTTATGTGGACACAGTGAATTATAACACAAATACTATAAACTTTTCTCAAATTCAATTGGACGCATTAGTGTGCACAAGTGTACATTAAAGTCGTTGAATACTGATTTAATCTGTGTAAAAATAAAATGCAAATATTTCGAATTATAAAATATAGATTTTATTTTTTACACAGCATAATAAAATATATTGAGAATTTCATGTTCAATCCATTTTTATATGTACATTGAACATATACATTTCAATACCTTTTCATCCTCTCTCATGGAAACAAGCCATAGTTTTTCCAATTCTTAAAAATCTATTACCTCCTTTGCCCTTTCCAAATTATTTGATCGAATCTGTTTTAGGTAATTAAAAGCTTTCTTCACACAAAATCATCAATGTATTAATTATACCTAATTACCAGTCTGGTTTCCGGAGCATGAACAATATACTTCGACTGAATTGTTGCATTTGTCCGATAAGGTGTTGCTGGGCTTTGATGTCGGTTCGATGACAGTGGCCCTCGATTTTTTGAAGGCTTTCGATCATATACTGCTTCTGAATACTGTCGATCATAAACTGCTTCTTGCCAAACTTTGTTACTACAGTTTATCCCCTTTTGTCCTTTTCTTCCTAATTAATTGTTCCCAATGAGTCCTTCTCTTCCTACTTTATCTCCTACCTATCCTGTCCCATCAAGAGTGCCTCAAGGATCTGACCTCATATCTCTGCTGTTCACAGTGTTCACCGCTGATGATCTGAGCTCTATTCATCTTAGCTCCAAGTTGTTTATATATGCTGACGACGTCGTTATTCTTTTCTTCTTCTGTCTATCTGAGGCCGAGTGGGCCTCTTCATTTAAACCCCCCAATATCTTCCTTGCTCATCGCTGCATGCTTCTTTCCCTGCATTATCCCGTCTTCCTCCTTTTAATGTTTTCCTTAATTCTGCACATCCTATCAACCTCACAAAAGCTTCTTGTATCTCAGCTCCTTATTATCTCATTATTTGACTCGTCTGATGTGGTTTATATCCCAGTGTTAAACCAACAAGTGCTAAATCCAATTCAGAGTATCCAAAATTCCTATCTTTGTTTTTCTTATAATGTCCATATGTATGATCACATCTCTTCTTTTTATTAAAATCCGGTTGGCTAAAAATCTCTCAATGCTTCATCCTTTATTTGTGTTGTTTTGTGTATAGTCTTCTTCATTTTAACATTCCTTCGTATCTCCATAATCTCTTGTATCTTAACTCGAAATTCTTACAACTCCTAACACCCGATATTATAATTTCTTTTTTTCCTGTACATCGTTCTGCTAAGTTTAAAGTCGCTTTCTTCTATGTTGTCAAATGCTTCAATATGCTACCTTACATGATACATCATCCGATTTTCCTCATTCTTGTTTTCTTTTCGCAATGCCGTCGCTCGGTTTCTATCGTCTATGAAATGTTAACACGTTTTGGTATTTCGGGTACTGTATCTCTGATATTGCAACCTTTCTATATCTTGCTCTGCAGTTTGGCATCCGAGAGCAATATATCTTTTGTTAATTATAACTCTTTTTATTTATATACACACACACACATATATATATATATATATATATTCTTTATTATTTTTAATTCTCACAACATTACGTGCATTCATTATCTTTCTGAAGCACGCCTCGATTTAACTGTATTTTACTCCCAATTTGATATTTATTTCGTTACTTATCTTGTTATATATTTTACACTTTTCTCTTTTTATCATTTGCTACATGTGCCTCGATCATATTGTCCCCGCGGATCCCTGCCTGGAATACGTAGTAAGGTGCCAAAATCCATACGTTATGCCGCAGTCGCGCCCGTGATTATTACTATCATTTCTTTTTCTTAATGTATGTTATTGTTTTTGCTTTCTGATTATTCTATGTATTGTTCCATGACAATCATTCTTTTGTTTGCTTTTACTTACTGATAGATGTAACAGTAGTACTGCTGGTGCCTTATCAAATTATGTACTTACCCGCTCATATTTATTACATTCAGTGTACCTCTATTTGGCACACAATAAACAAGATGTATAATTTTCATATTAATTTATGTACGATGGCTTTAATGTGCACCAGTGTTCATTGAGTGCATTCAATTGAATTTCACAGCTATTAATTATCTTAATTAAAGGTCTGTTCTTTATCAGCTAAACCAGTGTACACTCGTTATACTTTAAATTGTGTGTGTGTGTGTGTGTAAAGTTTGGTAAAAGTGAAAAAAAGAAAGAAAGTTTTAGTGCAATTCAGTATAGCGATAAAGAACAGGACTAAACACATTAAATATTTGATTGAGCTTTACCTGAGGGACTTGTGTACTTTTACCACAGCCTGTTTCACCGACTAAAACCAAGGTCTGGTATTTCTCCAACAAGTAAATAATGTGATCTTTGTTTTTGAATATAGGCAATCGTTGACGTTGCATGTCGAGCGCGAGCGAATGATGTGCATTGTAAACAAATTGTGTCGATGAATGGGCATCAATATCAGGTCTATCCTCCTGCCATGTGCTATCTCCTGATTAATAAAGTGAGATACAAATAAACTTGATTAGTAATTGACATCTCACAATTTTTATTTTACAAATAAAACTTTTATGTATTTTTTTATGTTAAATTAAATTATTTGGTTAGATTGAATAGTAGACGAATTGTGAAATTGCAAGCTACTTTTCGCTCAAAATGGCAGTTAAATAACTGCTACTTATTGGTATATCTCGATAATCCACAATATAAACGTTGAAGGCAACTTGATCTAATAAAATTGCAATATATAAATACACGACTGAATGACATAACCTTACCCGGCTTGGAGAAAAGCAGCCGAAACATCTTTGGAGTTTAAAACAACTTTGACAGAAGAAGACTTATATTTACATATGTGTATACTAGTTAAATAGAAAAATACAGGCAATATAAGTAAAGTCAAAATAAATACAATTCTATATCAATACCATAAGAGGCGTCTAACAACTGCTAACAGCGTCTAATGAGTAATGTACACCAACCATGGCATATCATGATACAAACAACTATAGCAAGTTTTATGGCAGTACGGTAGATGTCTCTTTTCTTAATCACCCTATATATATATACATACATACATATCGCCTACAGCAGGGGGTCGATTCTGTATCTTCAAACAAGATAAAAATTACAAAAGTGAGCAAATTTACTAGGTGTTGACCAATGAAATTATCAGTATTCTGGTAAATTCGCTCACTTTTGTAATTTTCACCTCATTTCAAGATACAGAATCGATCTCCAGGTTATTTTGGCTGCGTTTGGATTCCCACCTGGGTGCTCCCCAAGTCATATCATCCTTGTGTTTACCGAACGTTAAACAAGGATGACATGACACCCGAGGAGCACCTAGGTGGGAATCCGAACGCAGCCTTTATGTGTGACCACTGACCAGTGTGACATGCAGTGCTGCCAGCCCTACCGTTTTAGTGGTAGATTTACCGTTTTGGCTCACTAACCTATACTGCTTACTGTTTCAGGCAGGTTATCTACCGTCTTTTTTTTTATTTTGCTTGTATAATATCCTATGTTACTGCTCATTTTACTCAAAGATTAGTATCTTTGATTGACAAAAGAATTTGATCCAAAATTTCAGCGACAATGGTGAAGAGTTTTGGGAATTTCAGTACTGAAAGAAAAAATGATAATACGCCAATGTTTGGAAAAGTCAGTACATTTGCTACGCAATTATTTTCTCTCCCTCACTCCTCCGCTAACGTTGAAAGATTATTTTCTCAAATTAATCTAATAAAAACCGATGTAAGAAATTCGATTTCATCTACTACTCTTTCTGGACTCATAACGTACAAAAGAATACTTAAACGGTAAAAGTTGCTATACCTTGTCTATATCAGAAGAGCTATTTAAACTGTATTCTAACAATATGTATAAGAAAAATAAAGACTATGAAATGTTAACTGATTCTGAGACTAGTCAAATTAGTGAGACTGAAGATTAAAAAAAAAAAACAAAACGTTATAATTTTCCACTCAATAATGTTACTGCTATGCATAAGGCATATTACGTAAATTACATTGCAGTTGCATTGTTGAATGGAAAAGTGTAACATTAATGTTGTGTTATTTTTTTTTGTGTTTCCTGGAAAACAATTTTATACTGATTAGAATATTTTTTCTGTTACTTTTTATAAAATATTAAATAATTTGTAGTACTCATCAATGAGAAATTTTTAAATAAAGATTAAAGGAAAAAGTATGAGTATATTAATTCTTTTTATTATAATTTTTACTTTATTTACTACTGAATTGTTTTACGAAATTTCTTGAAAAAAAGACTACCGCTTTAAGTTTCAAATCTACTGCTTTTTTGGTGTACCGCCCATTTTTTCAACCATCTGGCAGCACTGGTAACATGTGTGACCACAGTCTGTGTGGTGTGACACGTTTGATAATAAATTTTATTTTAATAGATAGTGCACTGTTCTGATCTTTTGTCACTCAGGCCCACTGCTCCATTACCATCCATTACTCCACTGGTTGTTTCCGGCAATTTCTAGTCATTTTCAACTGAGAGATGTTAGAAGCTTACGATGCCAACTACGATAAAGTATGAGTTATAACACATAAATAATAATATTTGAAATATTACATTATATATTTTTCTTAAGATATTTAATTATATTTCTTTCATAGCGATCTATATTCCAACGTTTTTACACTATTCAGTATTCACTTACGTATGCAGCGTTAATAGATACAATTAAGTCTTATAAAATTTTAATTTCAAAATTTATACGCAGTTAATTTAGTGAATATATAGTCTACTAATAATATCAAATATATTACTTTTACGCAGGAACATCCAAGAAATCTTATTCCAGAACTGTGCCGGCAGTTTTATCATCTCGGATGGGTGACTGGTACTGGTGGCGGTATCTCCATAAAACACGAGTTAATTGTATAATAATATTATGTACAAAACTATTAAATGGAGACATTTACTATAAAATTTCTATCCTACAGAGACAAGATCTATATAGCTCCTTCTGGTGTACAAAAGGAACGTATGGTACCCAATGATATGTTTGTGCAAGATATCAATGGTACAGATTTGGAATTGCCTCCAGCAGAGAAGAAACTGAACAAGTCGCAATGCACTCCACTATTTATGTGTGCGTATATAAGAAGGCATGCAGGTGCTGTGATTCACACACACTCCAAGTTTGCTGTGATGGCGACACTATTGTGGCCTGGGAAAGAAGTCGGACTCACCCATCTCGAAATGATAAAAGGTATATATTCATTTGAATCGTCTTTTCAAATTTATTTACAGTTAATTTGAAATTAATGACAATATAAAACTGTTCGGCTTATATAGGCATATGGAATCAAAAAGAGGGTAGAGCGTATCGTTACGACGAGGAGTTGGTAATACCGATCATAGAAAACACTCCCTTTGAGAAAGATTTAAGAGACGATTTAGATAAAATTATTGTTCGTTACCCTGAAACTTGTGCGGTATTGGTACGCAGGCATGGGATTTATGTGTGGGGCGATTCTTGGCAACAGGCAAAAACTATGTAAGCTATTTCAGTATTAGTATCACACGCAGCGATGCAACGAAATTTATCAACTTTTTCGTTAAAATGTATTTCTTGTTCTTTATACAGGACAGAATGTTACGATTATTTACTTGATATTGCAGTTCAAATGAAACAATGTAGATTAGATCCATCAATAACTCCAAATGATTATGAATTAAAGTATCAAGCAAATAGTACAAGCAAATAGTTATGATATACACAGAACTTTATTACAAAATTAATATTTCTGTTAATTATAATTCTATGATGCAACAATATTATGTATCTCTAGTTATGTACATTTTTTAATCATTAAATGTATATAAAAATTAAAATAAAAAAAAAATGATAGAAACTTGATTTATTGTGATTAAAATTATTAATTTTAACGACATATTTCACATATGAGGATATAATATACACTATGTACACTATTGTACATACACATATATTGTACTTGTAAGACAAAAATAATATAAATATTTTCTCAAGTATCTACGTCGAATGGCGTAAATTGTTTTCTAATTTTCTTTGCTAGTTCAGTCTCTTCCTCTTGGCTCGTATGACAATCTTTCCAGTCAGATCTATCGTTTATGTCTAATATCCTGTCGGACGCTAATACTTCTCTGCCGAATTGTAATGGAAAATCTTTCTTGATCCTATAATATAAGATTCTTCCATCCGGTAATTCTACATAAAAATATAGAATACCAGGTTTAGCGACTTGCTGCAAATCTGTATGTGGTGGTAACTCCGATATCTTGAAATTGTTACATTCGGCCAGTTCCTGAAAGCATAGAAATTCATATGCATTTGAACTAAATTAGATAAAAGATATGTTCGACATTCTTTAATGTGGAAAAAAATAAGGAAAAGTACTTCGAACATTTCCTTCAATGCGGGTGCTTGGTTTTTATGAACAGGTACCGCTTGCAATTGACAGTGGGAAGTTTTAAAGTTTCTTTCAAAGAATACAGGTACTCTGTCGGTACTCTCGTAGTACTTGCTCACGGCTTTCTTATAGAGATCCATCTCCTCTTTTACGTTTTTCGGTAGAATAGACAGACTCTGATGATGCGTTATTGGTAGAATTAAGAGATGATCCTCCACTAGACCACCCTTTGCCAGTGCCAAATATATCTCTGTGCCAACAGAGATTACCAAATGCTTGGAGACTGCTGGACTGGATAAACAAAACCAGCACTTCGATTGGTCAATTACCAGCTTTGGTTTCTTATTGAGGCCGCAGTTCTGATGCCGCGATCTCTTTGCATTATCTATCGAGTCCATGTCATAGAAAAATTGGATCTGCTTTTGCAAAGTTGGATCGTCGGACAGCATAGATTTGGGATACGGACTCGACGTTTCGTCTGTTGTTTTCATAATCAGATCTGATAGTCTAGTTCTATCAACGGGAGTTAAATTCAATGCGTACAACCATTTCTGCTTCTCATCATTTAGTACTGGTGCAAGAGCTATGAACCTAGTAGCTATTTCCATATTTCCATCATCCTGACTTTGATTTCTGTAATGAAAAAAAAATCATCTTCAAATTATAATTGTGCATTTATTCTGTATTTATTTTCAGAAATTTCCTTGAATAATAAACTTACCGATATGGCGGCCGTTCGTAATAAATCCGTTCTAAGGCCGACACATGATATCTAGGTTTAATATGAGTAACGAGCCATGCGATTAATTTGGAACCTTGATACTTGCATTCTGGTTTGTTAGTGTCAAGATTGGTTACACCTTCTGGCCATGGAGATGTTAACAAGATGTCAACGCCACGAAAACTCGGTTGACCCTTCAAGCAACTATTCCTGATGGATACAACATCGTGTTCATTGAAGTGAACAGTTTTGTTTTCAGATGGGACCTTCTCGGTTCCACTGAGATATGCTATTTTGAGGCCCGAACTGGCGATGTACAGACCACGCTTTCCGAGATAAGTGAGATTCTGACATATTTCGTATCCGTCCTCGGGATAGTCCTTAATGTCAGACTCTCGGTTAGGACCGATAATGTACGTCGGTACTGAAATGATTTTCTCGCAGGATTTGTATGACTCCAATTCAGAATTGTCCGCACCGAAGAAATTGCCGACGCATAACAGAAAATCGAATGGACCGTTTTTCTTGTTGATAGCGTTTACTTTGGAGAACAAAAACTTGAAGTGTCCTTCCACATCTCCGCAAATGAGAACTTTCTGCTTGTCACTCATTCTGATAATAAAATTCTAAATAATTTTTATGTTAAAAAATGTTAAACATACACATACACACAGATCAGGGAGCATTGATATCCTCAGATATTTTCGTTATGGTTCTTCTTCTTCTGTTTCCCCTTGATTGGTTTTCCATCTCAAATATAAGAGACACAGTACCATGCGAAAATAACGCATCTAGTTGAGCCTATGAATAACCTCCTCGGGAAGCAGACTGTAGAGGTCTCAACTGATATAATGTATATCTCTTCTTATTAAGCCCGATGCCCACGATGCTAGAAATTGGTTCGAGATCTCGGACAGAGAAAAAATTAACAAATCACATTTGAACAACTTGAACACAAGACCATTGCGATTGGTCAATTCTTTCTTCATTCGAGATCTCGGACCGATTTCTAGCATCATGGACACAAGGCTTTAGAAATTAACTTGGAGCTCTTAGCACTGCTTTGAACTCACAAAGCTATAAAACTCCAGGATCCCTATAGGGATTTTTGGACAATCTAGGAAAATGAGATCCCCTATACATAATAGATTGTAAAAAATAATTTTTCATGTTCACAAATTAATTTTAATAAAACACTTTTACTAAAATTAATTTGAACATGACAGAAATGAGAAAAGTTGGCTTTTTACCCCCACTTCGAGTGACTTCGACTTCAACCCACATTCAAAGCAGCGTAGGGTGGCACCCAGTTGGACACGGCCACTCACAGCGCTTGAGACTACAAAGCTCCTAAGCACCGGTCGCTGTGATTGGTGGTGTCCAATCGAGCCGTGATCAATCGGGGTCACCCCGAATATTCCCTCACAGGAATGTTCGTGCGCATACATATCATCGATACGATGTGAAAGCAGCTAATACGAATCTGTAACGGCAGTTTACGCATGAGCACGAACGCTCCTGTGAAAGAATATTCCCACGGACAACGCATCACTGCTTTTTCCTTTTCATAGAGATGGAGAGAATTTTAAGCAAGATTTAAAATTCTCTCCATCTCGTTTTAAAGCGAAAGAGAGACTGAGACAGAGAGAGTTTTAAGCCTTGCTTAAAATCGAAGTAACGTTGGCTGCGTTCAAGCCGGGAGCACATAGAAAAACGTAAGGCCGTAAGGCGTAATCAGTAAGGAAATCGTAACATTGGATTCGCTACTGGCCTTACAGTCTCTATTGTGAATGGCCAATTCACTTACTGCTTGCGTGCTACGGCCTTACATTCTTGTATGTGTCATGGGCTTCAGCAAACTTAACAATCGAGTGAGTGTTCACTGTTATTGCTTATTGGTGTATTCTTTTAGATCTAGGAGAATACATCAATAGCAGCGAGCGCTAACTTAACTGTGAGTTATGGCTACTGCACACTGGACGCGATGAGCGATGAGCGACGAGCGATATCCAATAAAAACTCTGCTTTTTCTCACGTGACGACGCAAAGCAAACCTCTCATTGGATATCGCTCGTCGCTCATCGCTCATCGCTCATCGCGTCCAGTGTGCAGTAACCATAAGAGTCTCTGATAAGATTTATCAGAGAGGCGCAACCGGATTAAGTCATAGCGTTTTCGGCCCGACCGGGTTTGCACCAACCTGGGTTGGATTAATGGCGTTTTGCGCTCTCCTATTGGTAGA